GTTTTGTGTTACTGGAGGGTCAATTGCAAGAGCAGAGAGGGTGATAAAGACGATGAGCTTATCACAAGGGCAGGTAGTGCGGGAACCCTTGCCTTCCTGAAGAATTTGCATGTTATCTTTTTTTAAAGGTTCTGTTTATTTATTTTTAGAGAGAAGGAGAGAGAAATATCAATGGGTGGCCCTGGCTGGCATAGCTCAGTGGATTGAGCGCGGGCTGCGAACCAAAGTGTCGCAGGTTCGATTCCCAGCCAGGGTACATGCCTGGGTTGCAGGCTATGACCCCCCAGCAACCGCACATTGATGTTTCTCTCTCTCTCTCTCTCTCTCTCCCTCCCTTCCCTCTCTAAAAAAAAATAAATAAATAAAATCTTTAAAAAAAAAAAAAAGAAAAAGAAATATCAATGGGTGGTTGCCTCTTTCATGCCCCCCACTGGGGACCTACGCCACAACCCAGGCATGTGCCCTGACTGGGAATCGAACCAGCGATCCACTGAGCCTCACCAGCCGGGGCAGAATTTGCATGGTATCTTGGGCACCATGGGAAGCGTGAAGCTAGCGTTGGATTGTACTCTGGGAGGCACAGCGCCGCCCAGCCTCTGGAGTGGCCTTGGTTCGAACTGGCACCACCACCCAACAGCTCTGGGCGTCAGGGTCCCCGTGAAGAATAAAGGGGATGACAACAGTGTTACTCAATGGCAGGGTGTTGCAGGGCGGAGACGGTGGTCCGCACAGTGTGCTCGCAGCAGTGCCTGGTGCATGGTGAGTGCCCAGCAAATGTGGGCTTTTCCTCGGCAGTGGGGTGGAGGGCGGACTTGAGTGGGGCAAGATTAAATGAGGCAGAGAGGCCAGTGAGAGAACAGTGGCAATTCTGCAGGGCACAAGGGCGCTAGAAGGGGCAGTGGGGATGGAGAGGAGGAGCCAACCTGAGGGACACCTCGGAGGCGTCATTGATTGTAAAGCTCAGTGTTCCGTGTGCTAGAGTGAAGGACAGATGGTGGTAGCCTGAAGGTGGCCTAGTGAACCTGCCACCTACCTGGAGAGAGGGACGGGAAGAGAGAGGTCGTGGGCGTTGGCGTGCAGCAGGCGGTGGGAGGCACGGGGATGGGAGCCTGCAGCTCAGGTGAGAGGCAGTGGCCGGAGCCGGCTGGGTGTGGGCATAGGTCACTTTGGGGCTGCAAGAGAGAGAGATGGAGGAGGAAAGGCCCAGGGCGGCATGCCAGGGATCACTCATACGAAGGGATGGGCAGAGGAAGCAAAGTTCAAGACGGAGAATGAGACAGAAGTCTGAGGGCTGCACACAGAAACCAAGGGAGTGGAGTGACTGGGGGGGGGGGGCGGGCAGGGCCCATGTGTGAGCAAAGGCCACGGGCGGTGACCGGGAAAGCGCATGCCGCATGTTCATGCTTCTAAGGCTGTCTTATTGTTTTTGGGTGTGATCTACAGCCTGTGTATATGTTTAATGTAGTTTTCCCCCAAGAAGCCCTTATTTTATGATCAGGGCATCTTAGAATTGAGAAATACAATGATTGGTGACCTCAGTCAAGGCAATTTTAATTCCAAGGTCAGAACCAAAGCCACACTGCAGTGTGTTGGGTGGTGAATGGGTGTGTTGGCTGGGGACGGTGTGTGTAGATACTTTCCTTAAGAAGTTTGGGGTGACCTCTGGCTGGTGTGGCTCAGTGGATTCAGCACTGGCCTGTGCACCAAAGGGTCATCAGTTCCATGCCCAGTCGGGGGCACCTGCCTAGGTTTCAGCAGGTCCCCAGCAGGGGGCGCTTGAGAAGCAACCACACATAGATGTTTCTTTTTCTCTCCCCTGCTCTCTAAAATCAATACATAAATAAAAAAAAAAAAAAAAAGAATTTTGGAGAGAAAGGGAACTTCCAGCTAGAGGGGGTGCAAGATTAAGTGAATCTGTACTAGGTTTTCTGTACATGAAAAGGCCAAAAGTCTATTGATTCCTTTGACTTTGTGGCTCTTCTTGTGAACCTAGAGTAAATTAAACATCATGATGGAAAGGCTGAAATTCCCTCCTGTTTTTGTGTACCATGTGTGTTAGTAGGACATTGGTATGTGTGCACAATACGCCACGTATAAGTTCGAGGTCAAGGGCAGCAGGGTGCTGTGAAGAGGCTGGGGAAACGGAGCCGATGAGGAGGTGGGCAGGGAAGCCGTGGGCGTGCCGGCAGAGCAGGATGTGGCGAGGGAGGCCACCTCCTGCCTGCTCGCCCGTCCGAGAGGGGCCTAGAGAAGGGTGTCGGCAAGGCAGCGGCAGGGAGAGATGGTTTGGTGGGCGGGGGGGGGGGGTGTGCATTTTCCAGCAGAGTTTATATTTATTGATTTGTTTGTGTGTAATTGAAGAGAACGTTGAAGTCAGAAAGGGAAGTGTGTGCAGCAGGACGGTACGATAAGAAGACATAGTAGTTGGTGTTTCCTGTGGGTCAGGCACATTTCGAAGCACTTTGTGTTGCAGCTTGTAAAACTCTCAGCAGCAGCAGCGTTGTGATTCAGAAACTGTTTTCACCCTCATTTTACAAATGGGCCAGCGAGGCTGAACGTGGCCGATGGTGGGTTGCCCGGGTCACACAGCCTGGTAAGCAGCGGAGGTGGGGTTTGAGTGCAGGCATCCTGGTCCCAGAGGCTTGTTCAGAACAGGGAGGGGGCTGGGCCAGGGTGGCTGGTGGCCTGTGTTGAGAGGAAGGGCGTGGTGGTGGGGCTGGGCTGGGGACCAGCAGTCCTGCCCAGAGGGAGGAGGGTGGCTTGCAGGTGAAGGACCCTGGGAAGAGAGGCCTGGAGTGGGCCTCGGGTCAGGATGCGTGAGGAGAGGGAAGACACCGGGGGCACGGGTGTAACTCCTGAGCGTGTTCGAGATCCTGTGGTCTGAGAGGCCTTGGAAAGGAGCTGTAGCCGCAGGCAGCAGCAATGCAGAACTGACTGCCAAATTCATATTCAGGGCTTTTTATTAAAATTTTTTTTTGGTGTTACCCTTTATGTCAAAGGCTAGTTTTTAGTCTAATTAGAAGCTGCTCTTTATGTGGGTGGTGCTGTGGCCTGGGTTGCTCTGAGGTGTGAGTAACTGTCGCAAGACATTTATCAGCAACTGCTCCTGGGGTCCAGGCCTGTGGGGAGGGGGCAAGGAAGCAAGATCAGGCAGCAGAAGTCCCATGAGGCCTCAGCCGGCCCCAGAGGGTGCCTCGGTGTGGGGGCGTGGGGGTTGCGAGTGTCTGCCCCTCAGTGATCAGGCTCGCATACCGGCTGGGCCTGGCGGGAGGCATTCTGGCTGCTCTTGGGGGGGCGGCTGGCTGAGGGCCTTCTTCAGGCAGCAGCCCCAGCGGCTGGGAGGAGCTCTTCCTTCCTGAAGGCGTCTGGTTCATGCATCGGTGCCCGTCATGGGCAGCAAATTGTAAAACCTGAGAATCTCAAAAACACAAAGTTCTGGTCACTAAAGTGGAAAAGGCTGACTTGGACAGAAGTCAGAGCATTTCGTTATTATCAGCACTCTCGGTGGGAACTGATAGACTTCCACGTCCTCGGTGTTCAGTTTAGAATGTTACTTAATTTCTGTGTCTGTCATTACATTTAATGATAGATGGGACATTGAAGTGTAATGCCAGGGACACAGATACAGGGTAACATTATTAGAAAGAAATTGTAGGAAAAGTGAGCCCGACTTTCTTATTTGTAACCTAAGGACACTGTTTCATTGCCCTCAGAGAAGGAAGGAGGGGGAGAGAGGGAGAAACATTGATTAGTTGCCTCTTGTAAACTCCTCGACCGACTGGGGATTGAACCCACAACCTTCGGTGTACGGGATGACGCTCCAGCCAGCTGAGCCACCTGGCCAGGGCAAGATGGGCCTGACTTTGAAAAGGATGGCATTTCATTGCATCGTGTGCCTCCCTCGGACCAGGGGCTTTTCTGAGAAACACCATGGTTTCTGAGAAGAGGGGGAACGGGCGTGTGGGGTGGACTGGGTGCCTGTCTCAGTGGGCGTCTCCTCGCCGGAAGGCGTCTGCAGTCCCTTGCCCTGGAGGGTGGGCCATTCTCTCATCTGTAACGCTGGGAAGAAAAGGCCAATCTGGGCTAATGTACGGTGTCGGTCAGATTTTTTAAAATGTGTGTCGACATCTCCTTCCAGCCTTCCCCAGTGGAGGAGAGTGGAGGGGCCTCCGGGATCTGGGGCCCTGTGGGGTGTGGGAGGGGTGGACGTGGTGCCTGCATTTGTCTGAGAAGGCAGCACTCGCATGGGGGGCTGGCAGTGAGGCTTCCCGAGTTTGTGGCGGGTGAAGGAGAGTAGTTGTGTGAACGCTGCCCCTGGCTTCTGGAGTTCGGCCGCCGTGGAGGGTTTAGCCCCTCCTGGGCCTCCTCCCACCGTGTTACTAACGAGCCTCGTCTCTCCTCACCGCCCCCTGCACCCTGCCACGCACCACCCTCTCTCTCCCTCCTCCTTCGGGAGGAGGGACACGAGACCCTGGGCCGGTCCCCCTCACTGCCTCGGGTCGAACTGGAGCAAGAATACTTGGCCTGCTGGTCTGTCGGGCTTGTTTCAAGGAGCAAACGATACTATGTTTGTGGAAACACTCCCAAATGCCCCAAATCCCCTACAAATGCCGAGGGCCCCCCTCCACTCCGGGGCTTCGTGCCAGGGCTGTTGGTGAGTCCTCGATGGCTCAGGACCCGACTGTGACCGTTCCGGAAGCTGCTCTCGGACGGGTGGGAGTCTGAGTGGATTGCTGGGAGTCGCAGGAGGTGGGGGGATAAAAAACGAGGGAAATTGTGTTTGAAGAAATGTTCTCTTTCCACTGATAATAAAAGCATTGGCCTGCGGTTGTAGCAAAAAGCTTTGGAAGGAGATTGCTCAGGATGTTGGTGAGGGGGGGACACTGGGAAGAGCCAGGCCCCCCTGAGCCCTGTGCCCTGGGGCCTCGGCCTGGAGAGGCCCGCCCGCAGTGCCTCCGCCACTGCCCACCTCTGATGGGACCACCTCTCCTTCCGCTCAGGCTCGCTGGCGCGGGGCAGGGGCGCAGTGTACACTTCGGAATCTGAAGTCCAAGTTCCCGAGAATAAACGTGAGTTGGCTAGGGCTGTGGAGGGGGTGGGGGTGAGCAGGCCAAGGGTCCTGGGGCCCTGGGGGCCCTCCCGTCCTGTCCACTTGCTGCTGCCCTTTCCTCTCGCTCACCGTGAGCCTGTCTGCAGCTGCCAAGTTGTCCTGCTCCTACTCCGGCTTCTCCGCTCCCCGGGTGGAGTGGAAGTTTGCCCAGGGCGACATCACCAGCCTCGTCTGCTACAACAACAAGATCACAGGTGAGCCCTGTGCCTCCTTCCGCATTGTGCCCGGATCCCAGGGAGGGGGGGCGCCCAGGCTCCAGTCCCCGGTCCCCAGGGCCTTCCCACCGCCCTTCCTGCATGCCAGGACCCCCACTCCCGGTCCCTCCCGGCTCTCCAGCTCGCTCTGCCCTGGTCCCTCCCCCCACAGCCCCCTATGAGGACCGGGTCACCTTCTCGAACACTGGCATCACCTTCCACTCCGTGACCCGGAAGGACACGGGGACGTACACCTGCATGGTCTCGGATGAAGGCGGCACTGCCTATGGGGAGGTCAACGTCCAGCTCACTGTGCTCGGTACGTGCCTTCCAGGCGGGCTCCGTGGTGCCGCCCGAGGGGGCAAGCGCCTGGCGAGGGGGCAGCTGGGGCTGGTGGCTAGGGTGTCCCTCTCGCCGGCCGCTGCACTCCCAGCAGCCCCCGCTGCCCTGTGACCCGCACCTGCTGTCCCCTCCAGTGCCTCCGTCCAAGCCCACGGTGAACATCCCCTCCTCTGCCACCATCGGCAGCCGGGCAGTGCTGACCTGCTCGGAGACCGACGGCTCCCCGCCCTCCCAGTACCTCTGGTACCGGGACGGGGTCCAGATGCCGTCAGAGCCCAAGAGCAGCCGTGCTTTCAGCAACTCCTCCTACAGCCTGAACCCCAAGACAGGGGAGCTGGTACGGAGGGGGAGGCGGGCAGGGTGGGGGCCCCGGGGGGCAGGGGCCCTGAGGAGGGAGGGGAGCAAGCAGCAAGGTGAGCTGGGCATTAGGGTCGCAGAACCTCAAGGGCAGGTACTTGGCTTCCTCGAGGGGACACCGGCGTGTTTCCGGCCCCCAGGTCTTCGACCCCGTCTCAGCCTCTGACTCGGGAGAGTACTCCTGCGAGGCCAGGAACGGGGTTGGGGTGCCCATGACGTCCGACGCGGTGCGCATGGAGGCAGGTGAGCGCGTCCGGCAGGGCAGGGCTGGGGGCTGCCCCGGGCGGGGGTGGGGGCCGCCTTCCGTGCAGGCGCGAGGGTGCCGCTGGTGCTGTGGGTGAGCCTCCTCTGGTCTGCGTCTCATAGTGGAGCTGAACGTGGGCGGCATTGTGGCCGCCGTCCTAGTGACACTCATTCTCCTCGGGATCCTGGTTTTCGGCATCTGGTTCGCCTACCGCCGCGGCTACTTTGACAGTAAGGACTTGCCCTCGCGGGGCCGCCTCCGTCCCGTCCCTGGGTGCTGGGTTCAGGGCCCGTCCCGGCCGCGGGGTGAGCGCCCTCCCGACAGGGAGTGCGCGTGCGCAGGGCTCTTCTCCGGGGAGCTGCCCTGCTGACACTCTCGCCCCCCTGCTTCTTTTTCAGGGACGAAGAAAGGGTGAGTGAGGCGCTGTGCCGGGGCCGCCGGGCCGAGACTGGATGCGGGTGGTTTGACGCCGCACGGGGCCCCAGGGAAGGGGCGGGAGGCGGGGGGCCGTGGGCCGCTCCCCGCGGCCGCGCGCTGCCCTTCTCCCTCCGCGTGTCCCGTGCCCCCTCCTCGCGAGACCGCGAGGCCTGGGAGGTTCCCAGTGCTGCTGACCCCCGGAGCCGGCCTGCAGAGCCGCGGGAGAGGGGCGCGGGGTCTGAGGGCCCCGCCGACCTCTGCTCTGTCCGCAGGACCGAGAGTAAGAAGGTCATCTACAGCCAGCCCTCGGCCCGCAGCGAGGTGAGTGGCCACGCGGGGCCGGCGGGCGGGGCCTGCCAGCCCGGGGCAGCGAGGCGCCTGGGGGCCGCTCAGCCTGCGTGTTCCTTCCCCAGGGCGAGTTCCGACAGACCTCCTCGTTCCTGGTGTGACCCGGCCCTCCTCGCCCCGAGCCGCCGGACTCTGGCCCACAGGGCCCCTTTCTCCTTTGTGGGGAGCCCCCTCCCCCGCCCCTCCGCATCTCCCTCCTTGCCCGGTGCTGCTAGGGGGCGAGCTCTCTGCCGTCCCTGTGGGGAGCCACGCGGGAGTCCTGGCCGTGCCCGCTGACTCCCTTTTCCTCGGGAGCGGAGGGGCCCTCGGATGGGGGCTTGGGCCTGAAGCCTCGGCTCTCGCCCGCAGCGCCGAGGACCGGCGGAAAGGTGGTCTGGGGGCCACGTCGGTCTCTTCGGCCCCTGCCTTCCCTCGGGAAGTGCCCAGGGTCCTCCTGCAGTGTCCCGCACGCACGCAGACTGACACCACCGGTGTCTGTAGGAGAACCGGCGGACCTGTGGTCGTGGACGGCTGGGGGGCGAGAAGCGTGGGTTTCCGAGCTGGAGCTGCGTGTGTGGTCTGAGCGCTGAGCTGACGTTGAGTGTGCGCTGGGGCTTCCTGGCCCTTCGGTGCGATTGTGTTTGTGCGTGTTTGTGCAGCTGGAAATAAAAACGTGGTTGGTCCAAGGTTCCTGTTGTGCGTGGGGGAGGGAGGCCCTCGGTCCCCCGCTCCGCGCAGACAGGGAAGTGCCCCAAGCCCTGCTTCCCAGAACCCGGGCCGCCCCGCTCCCCGCTCCCGGGTTCCTGGGTCAAGGCGGAGCTTCGGGGCCTGGCCCAGAGCCCTCTGGTGGCGCCTGTGCGCGGGGCTCTGCTGCGGCCACACCCCCCTGTGCCCCACCAGCCCGATGGGGCACTTCCTGAGAGAGGCGGCAGGAGGGCGTCTCACAGCGTTTGGAGGACAGCGTCTTCGGCAGAAGCTCACAGTGGCCGCTCCTCCTCTGCTCAGTGGGGCTGCTGTTCAAAGAATCGTCGCCCGGGACAGGCTCCTGCGGCCGTGTGCGTGCCGGGTCCGCCCCGCCTTGCACGCCCCCTCGCACTCCGGCCCTTCTTCACCCCGAAGCTGCCGTCTCCCCACCGACGGGTCCCTGGTCCATCGGGTAACCAGCAGATACAGGCTTTTCTAGCGTCCACGTTGCTGCTTCATCTCCGGGGGGGGGGGCGCCGGGGAGGGCAGGTGCTGAGCACCGCTTCGCAGCCGGACCTGGAGATCCCTGGTAGAGCCGAGCTTTCTGTCCAGGGTCTAAAAGGAACAACAAAAACCAAATAAAAGGCTCTCAGGGAAGGGTCACACACCAATTACAAAACATGTCCAGATGGAAATGAAATCGAGTGAGACAATAAAAGCCAAGATCACGAGGCGGTTCTGGGAGAACGGATGAGTCAAGTGTGTTTCAGAACTGCCGTGGTGTTGGGAGGGGGTGGGGGCGGGAGAGGCCCCGGGGACCGGAGGTGATTCACTGCCTGCGAGCTGGCCACTCGGTCACTCGGTGGGTTACCTGCAGCAGCCGCGGAACTTCCCTCGGCAGCTTAGCACCTCCCCTTCGCCCAGGAGACCGTCTGCCTTCCCTGTGGAGCGTGAAAACCAGTTTTTTGTAATAAATGTTTTTCACATTGAGTTTAAGTCCTGAAGTTCTGCAGTTAAAGGGTGGACACTCTCAGAGTCTCTTGTCCCTTCAAAGTCCTGTTAGTCTGACTGAGTCACAAAGTGGAGGTAGGCTTCCTCAAGGCTTGGTGACTGCACAGCACTGACCCTTGGCCTGTGCCCCTGGGGGATGGCTGGCTGAGATGGGCGTGCCCCGCGGTGACGAGGAGACAGGCAGGGGCCGTTTCCTGCAGCTCAGTGACTTGTAACGTGGGCCCACAGACACCAGGGATGAAGCAGTTGAGAGTTGAGGGTGTTATTTACTGGCCTGTTCGAAGGCAAGGTCAAGGCCAGGAAGGAACAGGGGAGGGTTGGCCCATTTCTCAGGGAACAGAATGTTCTGTGTAACATGGCGGTAACTTGAGGGGAATTTTAAAAGTACAACTTCCATTTAAAGATGTCTTGCCCTGGCTGGTGTAGCTCAGTGGATTCTGCACTGGCCTCTGAACCAGGGGTTGGCTGGTTTGATTCCCAGTCAGGACACATGCCTGGGTTGCGGGCCAGGTCCCCAGTGTGGGGGTGCGCAAGAGGCAACTACAGAGTGATGTTTCTCTCCCTCTTTCTCCTTCCCCCTCGCTAGAAATAAAATCTTTTTTAAAAAGATGTCGAATTCTCTAGCTCTTCCAATTTAGTGTCTCTTTTTTGATCCTAGATGTAAGGCCAATGTGAAATGACACTTCTTGTTGGGTAACTTGCTGAGTGGTCTTGCTGTCCCTGTGTCACAGGTGGGAGAACAGCCCAGGGATGATCGGGACCTTTTCCAAGTTCCTGCAACAGAACTGGGCAGGTGGTGGATCTGGGATTCCAGACAGCTGGGGTGGGGCGGTGAGGCGGCCCTGCTCAGGGGCCCTGAAAGCAAAAGACAGGAGTAGAGAGAAACAAGTTAACTTCTCCATACAGGTGGGAATTTGGGTATCTGGAGGACGTGGGGAGAAATGATGTGGCTGGAGTTTCCCCTGAACTGTGAGTAAGTCTCGTTTGCATCCCAACGTAGTTCCAGGACAGAAATGAGCACTTGATGAAGCGGGCGGTGGGGGGGGGGGGGGGTGTATGAGTGCCACCTTCTGGAACGCAAGTTAAACTTCACTGCTTATGCTAGTGACTTGGGTGACAAGGTAAAGGCAGCAAGGAGTTAGAAGGAAGGGAAACTTCATTAGCTTGGAAAATGGGACTTGAAGATCTCAGTGGGTGGGGACGATCAGCCCATCTCTGAGACGCTGCTGCCCGTAAGCAAGCTCTGTTCTCGGTGCCTCTGCGAGGTGGAGTCAGACAGCCAGCTGGGGCGCACACAGAGGAAGTGGTCTGGGTGGGGAAGGGACTGAGAACTGTCCGGCAGGGACTTTCACAAGAATCAGTGTCAACTCTGCGGAATCAAAGACCCGGGCGAGACAAAGGCGCAGTCCCGGCGTTGGGAGGCCAGTGCAGTGGTGGCCTGAGGGAGACCCTTGGGACCAGGGGCTGGGTCTCCGCAGCTCAGAGCTGGAAGGGGGTGTCCCGTAGTGGGAAGAATGCGGTTTGGGGGCAGATCTTGTTCCACTCCAGCCTTTTTTGTGCCGTTGGCAAAGCCCCCCCAGTCTCAGTTTGTCACATAAAAATCGCTGGCGCTACCCACCCTATGAAGCAAATTTAGAAGCCAATCGGGCAAGATCTGTGAAGCGCTCTATGAGAAACTGCCCACATCATTACCCTGCCTGTGCTTACTCTCAGACTGGATGTCTTAGTCCAGGAGTTCGTAAACTTCAGTAAGCAGCTAGCGAATTTCTCAACTATTACAAAAGTTTAGTAAACCAAGAAGTTCCGTGAGAAAACGTACACAACCCAGTGTTCGCAGCTCAGTAAAACGCACTGGGGAGCGCAGCCCTTGCTCGCTTGTTTGAAGGCACCTGATGGCCGTGTTTCCCGGGTCACCAGCCATCCATGCTGGTCTGCTGCCCACTGGTTGCCAACCCCACACACCCAGCTGTCACCAGGGTCACAGAGGGGCTAGATCTCCCCAACACTCCTCAGACGTGTGTGCCCTTGCTTCACTTCAATAACTTCTTGTTCGTAAGTGTGTTTTCAGCTAAGGAGGGTGAGCTTTGCCCCTGGTGTCTACGGGGTGAGCCGAAGACGCCGCCAGAAAACGGTTTTAGGTGCTGGAGGCCCTGCAGTTTGTCCAGCCTCACAGCCGTGCAAGAGCGAGGTGTGGCTGTGTTTCTGTCAGGCTTCGTGTGTGGACACTGACAAGTGACTGTCGTCATCTCTGCATATCTTGAAATAATTAACTTGACTTTCCCCCCAATCATTTAAAAATGCAAGAACCGCTCCTGGATCCCAGGCTGCACAAAAACAGACCATGGCCCAGAAATCGGCACGTTACTCCTGGCTGAAGTCAGAAGAAAGCACTCAGAGTGGCCGACGCACCGCAAGGTGCGGGGATGCGTCGTCGGAGTGCACAGCTGGAGCCGGAGCCACCCCAGTAAACTCAGTACAGAACGGGAAAGCAGGAAACCCCACTTGGTTTTGAGCCTGACTTTAAAATTCCTTTGATCCAGGCCTTTTGACATCCCTGGGGAGAAAGGAACTCAGGACTGGGTGGGGGCAGCTGGGCGAGGGTGACGAGGATGACGAGGATGAGGCCGGGCCACCTGGGCCAGAAGGGAGGAGGAGTGGATGGGAAACCCGGACGTCTGTGGAGGGCGACGAGGAGAGGCTGTGAGGGCTGTGGAGATCCACCCCAGGGAGGCCCTTTAGAGCAACGGGGAAATCCAGTTTCTGCCTCCAGTCCGGTCTGCGTGGACTCTCCAGTTATGGGAAGTAATAACAAAGCAGTTTTCAGCAATCTGTGTATTTGCTTCTTAGCTGTGTCACCAACACCCCTGAGGGTGGGAAGCTTGTGTTTGTCGTGCTTGCCCAGTACAAAGACGTCTGCCCTTTGATGCATGGTGAAGGAAGGAGGGTCCAGTCCAGACCCGTGTGAATCAGGGCCAGTGAGGAGTTGACACATCAGCCATCACCAGCGTTATCACCCTCTGTCACCTGTGTGCCAGCCAAGGGCGGAGGGAGCAGGGACAGAGGACCCCAGGCCCTGGAGTTGTAAACATTGCTGCCTTGATGTTTGGTGCCGGTGGGGAGCCAGTGCCGCAGGCCGCAGGCTCAGAAGGGATGAGGAGGGTAAAGGTGGCCAGGCCCCAGGGTTCGAGCTCCTCCTGCCCCAGCCCAGCTCACGGCTGAAGGTGGCCACGAAGGACCGTATCGAAACCTTCCCCAGGGACACATCACCTGTGACAAAAAGGCTATGGCTGAGAGGTCCCCTCCCCAAAGAAACCTGGCGTGGACATCATGGGGGGGCGGCGAGGGAGAGAGTACCAAGGACAACTCCAGGGCGCAGGGCTGTCTCACCCCTTTCACCGAAGTTTTGGCAACACTCCTAAGAGGCTTGTGGCCCCTAATTCTGTTCTGATGGGGTTCAAGGCAGGCAGCCCCAAAATGTGCCCCTCTGGCATATGGGTTCTTTTAAATTAAAGTTACTTAAGAAACAGCCAGTGCAAGAAGGACACTCTGTCCTCTGCCCCCTTGAAGCAGGAGACAAACCTGCTCTGTGAAAGGCGCCCTCCTCGCAAGGGGAAGCAGAGAGACGAGTTTTTCGCCAGAGATGGGAAGTCAGGCCAGAAGCGACCCTGGCTGCTTCTCTGCTGCTTTGCTGCCCCAAGCCCAGGGTGGTTTGTCTCTTAACAAGTTTATTGTTTATTTGTCTAAAAGGCATGAAAACTGCCTGCTTTGGTCACTTTGGGGAGTCTCATGTTTCTGTGAGCTTCCATACGTGTGAAATTTAAGTTTTTTCTATTTGGGTTGCTCGACCACAAGGGTTCCTTGGCTGCCTGCCTCAAAGCCCAGTGGAACACGAGCAGCAGTTCGCAGCCAGGAAACTGGTTTTAGTTATTACTTGAGGAAATGGCACCGAGCCCGGAGTCGGAGCTGCATTTGTGCTCACACACCCGGCTCCCCGATGGCTCTTAGGGGACAGGTCATGTGGGGGAAAGGTCGCTAATCACAGTGGCCGAAGGAGTTGGGGCCGTGGACTGCAGTGCTTGGGTGGGATGGGGGAGGGATGGCTGGGGACTGTCAGGTCCTGCTGTCTGCCACGGTGCTGTTCTGTCTGGTTTCAAGAGGATGTGGTCCCCAGAGGGGTCTGCGTTCATGGGCCTGGACCGAGACACAGCTGAGGTCAAGATATCATCTTTAGCTTCACCTAAAACTCTGTCTCTGTGGTCATCGGACCTGAGGCTTTGTTCTTTAAGATTTTATTTATTTTATTTTTATTTTTTAGAGAGGGAAGGGAGGGGGAGAGAGACAGAGAGAGAAACATCAATGTGCGGTTGCTGGAGGCCGTAGCCTGCAACCCAGGCATGTGCCCTGACTGGGAATCGAACCTGCGACACTGGTTCGCAGCCTGAGCTCCATCCACTGAGCTACGCCAGCCAGGGCGAGGCTTTGTTCTTAAGACAGTTTGATGCTGAGCAGAATCTGGTGTCCCAAGGGTTTAATGATTAAGGGAGGGAGCTGATGGACAGGAAGGAGGAAGGCTCTGGTCAAAGAAATGGAGTTTCTGTGCAGTTACATTTCTCTGTCTTATGTCGATTCAAGGGTTAGATCAGCCGCAGCGGCTGGAAGTGCAGACGGAGAGGTTTTCCTCCCTGGCCGTTCGCACGGCGTCTGGAGGGACACACGCCGTGCGTGTGTGGCAGGGGAAGACATAGCTGCCTGCGGCTCCCCAGATCGGTGCGCCCGAGTGGCGTACATCGGGTGGTGTAGCCTGTCAGCCCCCAGTGCCTGTTTTTGGAAGCGAGTAGCCCGTGGAGCACCGTTTGGCATCTGTAAAGATGTTCGGGCTGAGAAGGGCTGGCACGGTCATGAACGCGGGCCCGGCTGCCCACTGCTACGAAAGCCAAGCTCTCGAGGCAGGTGCTGACGGAGAAGGGTTTGTTCAGGTGCTGGCCGCCAGGACAACGGGGGACTCTTGTCTCAGAGCCTGCCTCCCCCTCAGTGCAGGCAGAGGTTTTACAAGGAAGGAGAGGGGAAGAGAACAACGAGATCCAGGGAGGGATTTGCAAGGTTCTCCAAGTGTCGAGAACAGTCCTCTCTGCTGAGAACGGTGACAGTCCAGTGTGCGTCACCCTGGCTTAGTGACCTTGGATGCGTGGTTGCAGGTCAGCAAGTCTCCCGGAGCCGGGACGCCAGGAGGTCGGGTCTGTCCCTTCTGAAGTTAGTTTCCAGCGTTCTTCCACCAACAGGCTGTCCATCTCCCAGCCACACGTCAGAGCCAGCACTGGCACAACAGTGGGAAAAGGGTGGCGGGGTGGGCTACAGTTGTCCACGGTTGCAGCACGGATGGTGGGTAAAGGCGTCACCGGGGATTTTTTTAACAGGTGTCAGAAGATGGGCACTCTGTACAGCTCGAGGCAGCAGCCTTGGGCGAGAAGCCAGGCTGTGGTTTCCTGGACGGGGCCACAGGTTTAGGAGCCACGAGCTCACGACACTGAAATGTTCCGTAGGAAGCGCCCACCGGGTTGGAGGGCGGGCTGCATAGTATTTACGCAGTGACAGCTGCCCTGGAGCTCTCCTTGATGCTGTGGGTCGTGCTGAGTGCTTTGAATGCTGGGATGCGGATAGTCCTCACCCGTAAGAGGAAGGTGTCAGTCAGTGTCATCCCCCATTTCAGAGGAGGAAAGAGGCACAAGTGTCCAGTGCCGGCTCCACGCAGCACGAGTACGAAGCCAGCCCAGGCTCTGGAGCCCAAATTCTGCAGAATGGGCACGAAAGAGCCGTTGGGAAGCTTGGTGTCCTGACTCCAAAAGCAGGATCAGCACCCCCCACCCCCCACCCCCCACCCCCAGGCTGTCAGCCACGCCCCAGTCCAGCTTCACACGGCAGGGGGGGCGGGGCCGGGGGGGGGAGGGCCCTGGGAGTGGACGGAGGGAAGGGAGGTGAAAAGGGCTGGTGAGGGAAGTGGGAGTGTTTGCTGCCGCAGGGAAAGCGGAAGAAAGGAAGTGGTCCCTGCCCCTGCCCCTCCCTGGGAAGAGGAAACAAAGGTCAGGCCCTCCGGTGAGAGTAGGGAGGGAAGGACGAGATTTTGGAGGGAAAGTGAAAAAAGAAGAAGGGAGGGAATGTAGAAGTGCCGATGGGGAACTGGAGCAAAAGCGAATTCTTAGGAAAGTGTTTCTGGTCGCAGTTGCAGAGGCTGTGACGTCAGGGCGAGAGTGCCCGGAGCTGCAGGCCTGTCCAGCACCCAGCTCCTCTCCTTCCACAGCCCCCACTTACCCAGGGCTGCACCTCTCAGGCACCCCTCCCACCCCCTCCCTGCACCCTCACAGTGCCCTGCGGGTGGGACAGGCTCGGCCAACGGCTGCTGCGTGGTCCCCATGCAGGCTTCCCCGCACGCCGGGGAGTGCAGGTCGGAAAGTCCTCGGCGCCTGCCTGCCTTCCCACCAGCAGCTGGGCCAGGGAGAGTGAGCCTCAGGATTTCGAAGGTGGTTTGTGAGTCACCGGGAGCCCCGCCCACTTGAGGCGAACTGGGCGAGTTCGGTTGGTGGAAACTGTCGGGTCCAGGCCTGTGGTTTCTCTGCAGCCTCTCAGCTCTCAGTCAATGAGAGAGGCTCTGCTTGAGGAAACTGCGGCCGGACCGGCAGCAGGGCCGTGCTGCTGCTCCGGGGCCGCTGCGCCTGTGCACACAGCACGTCCGCGGACAGGCAGAGCCTGCCGCCCTCCTGCCCTGCCGGGGATGCTGGGGCCGGCTCTCACCCTCGCCCTCCTGGTCCTCACCAGATGTCAGAGCCAAGGTGAGGGGCCCTGTCTGCACAGGGAGGGGCGCATCGGCCTCAGGGAAGCGTGTCAGGTCCCGTGCCTCTGGACGGGGTGGCTGCTGCTGTCACCTGGAACGAGGCTGAGCAGCCGCTGACAGCGGTGGACCCTGGGTGGGACCAGCAAGGCTAGCAGAGGGCCCGGAGGAGACAGACCAGCCGCCCATGGTCCGATGGCCCGGGGCTTCGCTTTGTTTTTGTGTGTGGTGAGAGGAAGTGTCCTGCCTGCCGGCTGTGGGAAGGACCAAGGCAGTAGCCGCTCATCAGCAGCGGGAAGGAGAATCAACGGGCCTCGGGCTTGCGTCTCCCTAAGGGAGTTGGGTGGCTCTGGAGCTCAGGAACAGCAGGTTGTTGTGCCTGAGGAGGCGTCCGGCACGGAGGTGTGGACAACAGCCCCAGAGGCGCTGCCTGCCTGGCCTGGGGCCTCCTCCGGCGGCACCAAGGACTTAGGGGCCAGAGAGCTACTAGGGAGAGGGTGCCTTGGCTTGGGGGCGAGGGAGAGGGGCTCATTGGGTGTAGAGGGTGGAAACAGAGGTATTGATTGGGGTCTGTTAGGAGGCCGGGGTCAGGTGGGCGGGATTGGCAGTCTTGCCTGGGGGATGAGAGGGACAGAGGTCGAGGCTGAGACGAAGATGACGAGTCTGTGTGACAAGGGACAAGCCCTGTCCTCCCCCGTGTCCAGCCAGCACGGTGTCCCTGCTGTCTCCGCAGGCCCGCAGGGGCGCAGGGGCGACGCCGGGCCAGGGGTCGGGGTACAGGGGGGAGGGGCTTGGGCAGAGGGACCTGCTTGCTGCGTCCCCCGTGGGGCTGGCCTGGCTCGAGCTGATGGAAACCGCTCTTTGTCCGTTTTAATGTTTAAAACTTATAGTTTGAAACGATCTGAGAGTTCCAAAGTCATTGTAAGAATAGTACACAAAATTCTCTCATTTCCTTCACCTAGATTCGTCAGTTAACATTTAACCACGTTTGCTCTTTCCCTTTCTCTCTGTGTGTATCTGTGTGCATATGAGCAGAAAATAGTAATGCTTTTTGTTGAAACGTTTCAGAGTGATGCCTCTTTACTCTTCTGATCGCTTGGGCACGTATCGTCCAAGAGCAGGAACATTCCCATGTCACACCACATCCTCACGTTCAGTGTGCCTAGTACTGATGCTACCAAATACGGAGCCCACATTTAAATATGACGCATTATCCCAATGATGTGCTTTATGGTATGTTTTCCTGATTCAGAATCCAGTCAGGATCATGTATTAGACTCACTTGTTACGTCCTTAGTCACTTTTTTCATTTTTATCTTTACTTATTTATTTTAGAGAGAGGGGAAGGGAAGGAGAAAGAGAGGGAGCAACACATCAGTGTGTGGCTGCCTCTCGTGTATCCCCTACTGGGGACCCGGCCCACAACCCGGGCATGTGCCCTGACTGGGAATCGAACTGGTGACCCTTTGGTTTGCAGGTTGACACTCAACCCACTGAGCCACACCAGCCAGGGCTATCCTTAGTTATTTTCAGTTTACAAAACTATCCCACAACTTTTCTTCGTGACAGGGACATTTTTGGAACGCACGTCACTGTCTTGTGCAGTGACTCCTCCATCTGGGCTTGTCTGATGTTCCCTTGTATGATTCAGGAGAAATGATGTTTGCCATGAACACCACAAAGGTGATGCTTTTTTTTTTTCATTGCATTCCATCAGGAGGCAGGGTGACAGTGAAACATCTCCTTTACGAGTGGGGTTGCTGGAGAATGCCATCAGTATGAGACACATGGAGGAAGCTCACGTTCTCCATTTGCAAAGGTCTCCCGCAGGCAGCTTCTGACTTCATGCCGAGCAAAGCCACACGCGTTGCGGTGGTCTCTGGCGCCGACCTCCCCGACTTCCTGCCCTTCCTCTCTGCCACCTGCTGTGTTTCAGCCACACTGGTTGCTGGTCCCGAGCTCAGACTCCTCCCTTTCCCATGGGGCTTCCTCCCCCAGCCCCTCAGGGTTCCCCTCAAACGCCACCCTCTCGGCAATGTCTTCCCCAATAACATGTCAGCCCCGCCACCCTGCAGCGCCTCGCCGCCCTCTCTGCTCCCTTTCCTCTGCAGTGGGCACCTCCATCTTACCTGCTGTCCTGCCGCTTAGGGACTGATTTTCTGTCCCCAGGCCCTCTGTCCCTCACTAGGGCGCGATGTCCTTGAGGCCGGGGCTGCGGCCTGTTTTGTTCACCGCTGTGTCTTCAGCATCTGGAATAGCATCTGGCACAGACGGACTTTCTGTTAAGATTTATTGAATGAATGAATAAAGTGAGAGTTTATCTCCGCCCTGCAGAGTTTCACTGGGGAAAACTCGGACCACCTCTGTGGTCTTGGGGATCAGAACTAACCCCGTTTCTCAGCTTCTCTCTTTTATTTATTTTTATTTTATTGTTTTATTATTTTTAAATATATTTTATTGATTATATTATTACCGTTGTCCAGTTTTCTCCCTTTTATTCCCCTCTGCCCTGCACACCCCTCCCACCTGCATTCTGCCCCTTTGGTTCATGTCCATGGGTCTTACATACAAGTTCTTCGGCTTCTCCATTTCCTACACTATTCTTACCCTCCCCCTGTCTGTTTCCTACCTACCAGTTATGCTTCTTATTCCCTGTACCTTTGCCCCCATTCTCCCCTCCTCCTCCTCGCTGATAACCCTCCATGTGATCTCCATTTCTGTGGTTCTGTTCCTGTTCTAGTTGTTTGCTCAGCTTGTTTTTGTCTTTGTTTTCAGTTCATTTGCTGATAGTTGTGAGTTTGTTGTCATTTTACTGTTAATATTTTTATCTTTTTCTTAGATAAGTCCCTTTAAAATTTCATAGAATAAGGGCTGGCGATGATGAATTCCTCGAACTTGACTTTATCTGGAAAGGACTTTATCTACCCTTCCATTCTAAGTAATAGCTTTGCTGGATAGAGTAATGTTGGATGTAGGTCCTTGCCTTTCAAAACTTGGAATACTTCTTGCCAGCCCCTTCTTGCCTGTAAGGTTCCTTTTGAGAAATCAGCTGACAGTGTGATGGGAACTCCTTTGTAGGTAACTGTCTCCTTTTTTCTTGCTGCTTTTAAGATTCTCTCCTCATTTTTAATCTTGGGTAATGTAATTATGATGTGCCTTGGTGTGTGCTTCCTTGGGTCCAACTTCTTTGGGACTCTCTGTGCTTCCTGGACTTCCTGGAAGTCTATTTCCTTTGCCAGATTGGGAAAGTTCTCCTTCATTATTTTTTCAAAGTAGTTTTCAACTTCTTGCTTTTCCTCTTCTCTTTCTGGCACCCCTATGATTCAGATGTTGGAACGTTTAAAGATGTCCTGGAGGTTCCTAAGCTTCTCCTCATTTTTTTGAATTCTTGTTTCTTCATTCTGTTCTGGTTGAATGTTTCTTTATTCTTTCTGGTCCAAACCATTGATTAGAGTACCAGTTTCCTTTCCTTCATTGTTGGTTCCCTGCACTTTTTCCTTTATTTCACTTTTCATAGCCTTCACCTTTTCCTCTATTTTGTGACTATACTCAACCATTTGTGTGAGCATGCTGATTACCTGCGTTTTGAACTCTGCACCTGATAGGTTGGCTATTTCTTCATTGCTTAGTTGTATTTTTTCTGGGGCTTTGATCTGTTCTTTCATTTGGGCCTTTTTTTTTTTTGGTCTCAGCATGCCTGTTACTAGTAAGGGGTGGAGCCTAAGGTGTTCACCAGGGTGGGGCAACCCATGTTGCTGCGTTGTGATGCTGTATGTGGGGGAGGGGTCTGAGGGGAACAGTGCCACTTGTTCGGCTCTCTGCTGGCTTTCAGTCACTTCTGCCTCTACCCTCGAGCAAACTGTGCCCTTCTGGTGCTGATTCCTCAGTGGGTTTGTGTACATTCTAGGACCCTGTGCGTCTCTCCAACAAACTCTTCTGTGAAGCTGGGAATTTCTCCCACCACCGCAACCCCTACAGATTTTTTCAGTCAGAGGTTTGAGGCTTTATTTCCCCACTGGAACCCTGGGTTGTGAGGTCTGTCTCGCCCCCAGTTGCTCTTCCCAGTTTATCTGCACGCGAATGTGGGACTGCCCGGTCCGTGATCTGCTGCAGGGCTGCCAGTCCTCTCTGCCCGGCTGCCCGTCCCTGCCCCTCCTACTGGTCTGGATGAATGTTTCTTCTTTAACTCCTCGGTTGTTGGACTTCCATACAGTTTGATTTTCTGGTTGTTTTTTGTTTTTAAGTTTGTTGTTCTCCTTCTTTTGGTTGTGCAAGGAAGTACAGTGTGTCTACCTACGCCTCCATCTTGCCCAGAAGTCTCTATTTTATTTATTTATTTTAAAATATGTTATTTATTTTTGGAGAGAGGGGAAGGGAGGGAGAAAGAGAGGGAGAGAAACATCCATGTGCGAGAGAAACGTTGATTGGTTGGCTCTTGCGTGCTCCCAACAAGGGGCCTCGCCGGCCACCCAAGCATGTGCCCTGACCAGAAATCGGAAATCGAACTGGTGACCTTTCACTTTGCAGGGCAATAAACTGCAGGTGGTCAGGGCTCAGTGCAGTTTCTTGTATTTCAAACGAGGGCAGCAGTGGTGCCTGCTCCGTGGGGATGTGTGAGGATTGGGTGCGACAGAGACGGCAGCCCACAGAGGGCTTAGGACAGCGAGTTCACAAGTCCCGTCCCCCCCCCGCCCCCCGTGACGGCTCATGCCCTGCAGCCCCGTGGAGGCAGGACAGACACTTATGTCACCTCGTTTCTGAGTCACAGTCAGGAAGAGGGACTGTTCCGCACCCCCTCCTCTGTCTCTAGTTGAATAGAAAGTGAGGTAGAAAATCAGAAGATGATGAAGCTTTATTATGTGGCTCTTCTCTGAGGTTTCTCATTGTCCTAACCGGGATCGTAGGGAGACCTCAACATTTTTAACTTAAAAGGACACACATTGTGTAACATTATTACATCACATTGTGAAATGTTCTAATTGCTTTTACAGCCACAGCTCC